GATGGCTCTCTCTGTGTGCTCTGTCCCTCCAGAGGGCAGGCTCTCTCTGCCTGTCCCTCTGGAGGGCAGGCACCACACCCAGCCCAAGCTCTGAATCTATTTTATGTCTGTCTGTCATTATCTCTTCAATCCCGAAAACGCCTCCTAGATTGCGTGAACCGGTTCAAGTCTCCTTCACCGTGCGGGACTCGGGAAGAAAACACCAGAAAACGGCTCGGTATATTCTCTCAGTGGTTCCCCACTTGAGAGGCAATCCTGGGTGGCTCTTCTCCAAGTGGTGACTCAGGAACCCACATTCTTATCTAGTGCCTAAGTAGGCCCCTGGACCTCTGGTCCTTCACTAGATCCTGCGCACGTGGCTGGCCAAAGAAACAAGGCCAAACCTGGAAGGGTTTGCATTCCTCCTCACTATGCACTCACATGGTCTAACTCTAACCAGTGGTCAGCAAACTGTGGCTCGCGAGCCACATGCGGCTCTGTGGCCCCTTGAGTGGGGCTCTTCCACAAAATACCACTTCTGCGCATGGGCCACGAAGTTTCAATCACACTGTATATACGCGCCCGCGTGTGGTATTTTGTGGAAGAGCCACACTCAAGGGGCCACAGAGCCGCATGTGGCTCGCAAGCAGCAGTTTGCCGACCCCTGGGCCTCTAACCTAACTGCCAAGGGGTCAGGAAATGTGGTTTTATGAGTGCTTCCCAGGAAGTAAAGGAAAGAATTTTGGCAAGCACGGGGCAAGCATGCCTTTTGCCACACACAAGAGCTGTTGTCTGACGGTCAGATACCTAAGGTAAATATTAAATCTTAGTAAAATATTTTGCAATAAAAATTGTTACATGAAAAATGTATAAGAGTTACTAAGCCATCAAAACATAGTTTTTAAAAAACTAACTTGTCCGAGAGTGGAACAGCTAAATTCTACTTCCTTTAAATTTGTTTCTAGCAACACCATCTAACACAGCAGTTCTCAACCTGTGGGTGGCGACCCCTTTGGCGGTCGAACAACCTTTTCACAGGGGTCGCCTAAAACCATCCTGCATATTAGATATTTACATCACGATTCATAACAGTAGCAACATTACAGTTATGAAGTAGCAACGAAAATAATTTTATGGTTGGGTCACAACATGAGGAACTGTATTTAACCCCTTTCCCAACAATTTTTTTGTTAAAAACGTTTCTTTTTCAGACTAATTTTTTTATTTTGGTTCTATATAGTATTTTTGATGCTGGTTATGAAAACAGTTTGTAACTCGTCTTCCTATAAACCATATTTTTTTTACCATATTTTCTTAGTATACTCGTCGACGACTGAAAAAGAACATTTTGTGAAAACGTGTATACACGTTTCTGCCGGGGAAGGGGTTAAAGGGCCAGAAGGTTGAGAACCACTGATCTAATACAACTCTTAATTCAGACATTTAGGTCAGTGATCCTCAAAGTATGGCCCAAATCATCAGGATCTGCATTGCCAAGGAACTTGTCAGAAAGGCAGATTTTCCGGCCCCACCCCACACCTACTGAATCAATGGTTCAGGAACAAGCCCTCTGAGAGATTCTGATCCATGCTAATGTTTGAGAACCACTGCTGTATGTAATCACTGGTTAGTTTCAAAACAGAATATCATGTTAAGGCGGGATCATCATTTTGATTAAATGCCCTCTTCATGTGGATGGCCCATCACCCCACTCCCAGCCCATTGTCACAGAATGGCTTCAGTTTTCCCACTCGGTGCTGTGTTAATACTGCCTTTACAGCACTGATCATGTTGTTGTTGTTGTTGTTATTATTATTATTATTATTATTACAGTGGGGCCTTGACTTACGAGTGTCCCGACTAACGAGTTTTTCGAGATATGAGCCGTCTCTTGGCGATTTTTTGCTTTGAGTTGCAAGCTAAAATTCGGGTTACGAGCCAGCTTCAGATACCCCACCGCTAGTTGGCGCAGCGAATGCCACAGTGAACGCCACAACATCAGCCCAGCATCACATGTCCCACTCGTTCACTTTTGATTTGACATACGAGTAATTTGAATTATGAGCTCCGTCACAGAACAAATTAAACTCGTAAGTCAAGGCCCCACTGTATTATTATTGATCTTGATTGTCACTAAGCAATGTGGTTCATGATAGGCCTCACATCTGTACGCGGGGTTAGCCCTAACCAGTAGATAGAGCGTCAGCCCAAAAACTGAAGGGTCCCAGGTTCAATTCTGGTGAAGGGCACATACCTTGTTGCAGGCTCAATCCCTGGCCCCCACCAAGGGCGAGTGTGGGAGGCAACCATTCAATGTGTCTCTCTTACATCAATGTTTCTCTCTCTATCTCTCCCCCTCCTTGCCACCCTATCTAAGAAAGGGGGGTGGATATCTTCAGGTGAGGATTAACCAAAAAAATGAAGACGACGACTAGGGGGCTAATGTAGGGCAGGTTCAAAAGCTATTAAGAGAGCAGCCTTGCCCAGCCAGCATGGTTCAGTGGTTGAGCGTCGGTCGACCTATGAACCAGGAGGTCATGGTTCAATTCCAGGTCAGGGCACATGCCCACGTTGCAGGCTCGATACCTAGTGGAGCGTGTGCAGGAGGCAGTTGATCAATGATTCTCTCATCATTGATCTCTCTCCCCCCCCTCCCTTCCTCTCTGAAATCAATAAAAATACATTTTAAAAGAGAGAGTAGCCCCCACAGGTCTTAGAGACCAATTGGATGTCACTGGCTGAGAAGAAACACCCAGGGTGACAGGTAAGCTTCCTAGTCCCTGTAGCACGAGGTAGGAAAGTTCAAGCTTGAGGAGTGGGGAGATGAATTCAGCTTTACAGGGCAGAAAGTAACCAGCCATTGGGTGTGGCAAGGCAGAGGTTAAGTTCTGTTGGCTAAAGGGGTGGATGCAATCTCGAATTTGCATGGAGGTCTAAACAGGTTCCTCAGAGTCCAGGCCTGCATTTTGCACAATGCTTCTCGGTACTGGAGCCATATCTCCCATTCTGTCTGTGTGTTCACTGGTGCTGTCCCCAGGATCGACAACCTGAAAATGGGGAGGCACCAGGGGCGGCAGAGTTAGGGCTGTGCAACATCGTAGGGCAACCAAATATTCCTTCTGGGTGTGGCAACTTTCTTTTTCTTCATTGTTAAC